AATGAGCGAGTGAGTGAGTTTAATGTTACGCCGCTTTTAGCAATATCCCAGCAATATCACCGCGGGGGACACCAGAAATAGGCTTCGCACATTGTACCCAGGTAGGGAATCGAACCCATGTCTTCGGTGTGACGAGAGAACACTTTATCAACTTTATCTCTACCGCCCCGTTCTACAATGAGCTGTTCGTTGGCTTTGACATGGGTTGCACGTAGATTCTGACATGATTTGCTCGTTGTTTTTTCACATGGGTTGCACACAGATTCTGACGTGGGTTGCACTTGGCTTCAGCCATGACTTGCTCGTAGGTAATTTTACATGGGTTGCACATAGATTATGACATGGGTTGCACATAGATATGCCATGACAATAACATAGACTCTGCCATGGGTTGCACGTATGTCACTGGGTATGCGGTATGGATCACACGGTTGTGGCTTGAAGATCACGTGTGCAAGACTGACGAGATTTCTCACTATTTGTCCTGAAAATTTACCTGTTGGCGACTAATTATAAAAAAAAGAGTCTATCATTTGAATCAAACTGCCTACCAACTCACCCGCCTCGTTGTACTGCCGAATGCGTTGGTACAGCCATCCTCCAAGTGAATGTGTAGGCTGCAGTGGTTTGAGCTCCATACTTCACTGTCAGGTTGATGTGACGCACACTGGCGACATCAGGCTTGCCATGTTCGTGTCTGTGTGCTTAAAACTCAAACTGTGCATGTTGCTCCCTATAATAGCATTTATGTGTATTGGGAATCATTAATTATCATTAATCAGGGATGTTCTGTGGGACTGGTGATATATTGTTTAAATAATACAGAAAATGATGTTGAAAATTGTTTGATCGGCAATCCCATTCGTGAATTCCATGTAAAACGGATGTATATCTATCAAACCAAGCCCAATCCGCCTTCCAGTACTACAGTCAGTCCATGTTTTATATGTCGACTGATGCTGCTTCAGTGAAGGCTATCATGTCCACCGTGAGTCGGAGCGACTGTAGTGCACGTGCTGCACGAATTTCACGTGCTTGAAATGTGACACAATACACAGGGAGATGCAATGTGTCAGCTGAAACCGTTGTTGCTCTTGAAACCGTTGTTGTCTGTGGAAAAAACATGAGAAATAAGAAAAATATAAATGCAATTGCCCCACTTCTATATTAATCAAATACTTCAATTGCTTATAAAACTTTTGAAACCACAACTATCTGGTCCTATCTTCGTGCTTCAATATTTCTGTACACGTCCGCTATTACTTTCACAAATTGAAGTTTTCAGCTCTACACTTAATAACCGAGTGTATTATATTTCATCCACTAATTATAAACACCTAGCAACCATTGGCAACCACAGATTTGATACGGAGGTGATGTCACAATCTTTTTTATCACAGAGCTCCTTGAAAACAGAGCTCAGGCCTTTTCTACGATTACAGCTTGAAAACTCCTCACTTTCGGAGAGTGGGAGAGTATGGTTTTACGCCGCTTTTAGCAATATTCCAGCAATATCACGGCGGGGGAAACCAGAAATGGCCTTCACACATTGTACCCATGCTGGGAATGGAACCAGGGTCTTCAGCGTAAACTGCATCTCCTTTAACCTCTTTGGACAAATCTGTTAGCTTTTTAACGCACACAAATGGTCAGTTTTGTCACCTGCACCATAAGACGCTTGAAAACGTAGTAATGCAATTACTGCAGAATTTGGGATGTCTTTGACTGCAAGAACCAATCATTACGAGGGGCGATGAACTCAATGTGCTGTTTATACCAGGTATTCTCAACCTACAAATTTAACAGACTCATGACAGCCATAATAATGTACTTGTAGTGCGTAAATCCTTTAGTCATTAAATAGACATAAAAAAAAAACATCGTAGCATATTTTTATCTTTTATCCTTGTATAATGCGTTCGCACTAAATTAACTGTTTTATTGAATAAAATGTTAAGTATTTAAGCGCCGAATACAGTGGGATTCAATATCTTGCCTGACACAGACACTTTTCTTGGCAGAGAAGATATTGCAGGAATTTCTATTAACCCTGACACAGCTGCGGCGTTGAACAACATGCACTCACTCATGAAAACAGGGACCACCTTACGCTCGACTGTACAGGACGTACATCAGTGGAGATGGCTTGCTTGATTTTGCCCCACTCCTACTACCACCACCACCACCACCCCCAAAATACAAGGGGCAAAAGGCTGGGAAGAGACAGGACATGTAAATTAATGCTTGAATTTACAGAAGGCTGGGTTTGTTTATGAAATGTATTTTTACATGAGTGATTGTATTTAACCTGGAATGAATTGGAACTGCTTCAGACTACCCAAGTACCGCTGAAAAATAATATCAAAATGTCATGAAAACCATGCCCTATCACACCTTGAGCGTGTTACCAGGTAGACACATGTCAAGTCGCCGACAAAGCTGACAAAATGTAAAAAATATCACCTCAAATCAATAGGATAATTATTCCATGTCTAAATAACAGTGCTGTGTCACATCCATATGGCCGACCGATTGTTGACAGTACTGCGAAAACACAACAAAAAACCGTCATAAATCATGCTGTGATAGATTAAGATGGCGGACACATACGAGCGTGTTTCGCACGTCGAGTAAATATCATGATCAATTATTCCACCCTGAGATGACAATTATTCACACGCCGTCACGGCGACACTATACATCATAATCTTCGCGTCTGGTGCAATAACCCATGAATTATATCGATGTTATATCAACACAAATCGTCTCGTTTGTTTAACGTGGCGTGGCCCGTTTGTTTGACGTCCGTCTGGTAGTTGTGAAAGCGTGAATACTAAATCTGATGTTATAAAGTCAGCCCGGGGATGGGAGCGCGAGGTGGTATTTATTGGCATTGATTTTGGAAGAGTGATATATCATCTGCTTGATCAGACACCTGCCGAGAGAGGGTGCGTGGAGGAACAACGGTAAGAAGAGAGAGAAGGTGTGTGTTTGGGGAGGGATGGGTGCGTGGCGTGGTGGAGCGAATTAGAATGTTAATGTGTGTTTCCTGAAATGAAAAGGTATCATTTATAAAAAGAGGGTTTAGAAAATTATGTTTGTTTCCTTGATAGAGGATGGGAGACATCCTTTGCTTCGGACACAGATTTTTGTGGTGATTTGACATGTTCTGGAAATATATATCATACACTGAAATATGTGTTGCATTGTACACACTACACATTTATTGTGTTTTGCAAGCAGAGTCGTGAGCTTTAAGAAGACAACCCCTTTCTCCCACCACTCCTTCGAATTAGCATATAAATATTATAACTCATTTTCGTCATATTTCACCCTCACGATTACGTTCATGGCTGTATACGGTATATTTGTTAGTGAGAGATCCCCAGACATCCCCTTTGACGAAGCAACCTTTACTAAGGTTAACCTTAACTCCCAATCTTTTACATTGCCCTTAAGTTACCTTAGTGACTTACGATCATCTTTGTGCTTTGTGAAAGGAGGCCGTGATCTCTGTGACCTCTGTAATTCAAACTCTTTACAGCGAAACTGTATCTGTTTAGGTTTCTGAATTATATACAGAGTCGGGGCGGCGTACCAAACGCGTTATATAAGGATGAGCATTCCGTAAACTAGAACAGGTTGCCCTGAAGGCACAAAATTCCCCTATGGGTTACGGCATCTCGGTCGCATCTCTGTGACCTCTGCAGTTCTCTTTACAGCGAAACTGTATCGCGTAATGTATTGTCATTGAATTTGGATGTACATGAAGGCATTGGGATTAATGGGAGAGCTAGGCACAAAACAGTGAGTGAGTGAGTTTAATTTTACTTCCTATCTATTAGCAATATTCACACATTGTACCCATGTGCGGAATCGAACCTGGTCTTAGGCGTGACGAACGAACGCTTTAACCACTGGGCTACCCCCACCTTGCCCCTCGCTACCTCGTAGGTAGCGACTAAATGGATTGGGTGGTCAGTAGTTTGGTTGATGTCACTGTGTCCCAGTTGTGTGATGCTCATGTCAATCACTGGATTGTCTGGTTCCGACTCGATATTTACAGACCGCCATAGAGCAGATGAAATGGTACAGTTGCGCAAATCAACATTCCCTTGCTCAAAGCTAACATAAGTTTTACTCTACAGGTGAAGAAGAACGCGTGAAGGTTAGAAATGGTCTTCAGCAAGCCATGCTTGTCGTAAAAGGCGACTAACGGGATCGGGTGGTCAGGCTCTCAGACTTGGTTGACACACATCGTGTATCGATACATAATGTCAATCACAAGACTATCGGCTTTAGCCTCGATTATTTACGTTCCGCCTTCTTGTAGCTGGGATATTGCCGAGTGCGGGGTGAACCAGTAAACAAAAATACAGCGAAGAAGTGCACGTAAACTGTAGTCAACTTGATCCAGTTTCCCACCAATTCGTTGATTAGTTCACAGAAGTGCACTGCATATATCACCCGAGCGCCAGAGACCAGGGGTGGTCATATCTACGTGCTTCCTGCACAGTTTCACGTGTCACGGGAGAAATGTAACAGACAGTTTATTTAGTTTTCAATTATCTGTTTAATTACTGTGAATGCCTGTTAGCAGAATCAATTTTTGGCGTGCAGAGTTGCGTCCCTTGCACGTCAGAGTCGTATGACTGGTTCTGGCTCTTGGTTTGTCGTACCCTGTTCGTGAGGATCCTTCTCAGCGGTCTAGTCACGATATTACGAAGTGAATTTAGGATATATTGAAGAATATTGATGATATCTTGAAAATTCTGATACTTTATACTGGATTAATGATATCAGAATTAGATTTGAAGATATACAATTTTAATTATATCAGTACGAAGAAGAGGAAATCTTCAGTTGTTTATAAATACATCAAAAACATCATTGACACCCTTAAATATAATACAGATTTCTCTAAAACAATTGAAGACATCAGTAATGTTTTAATAAATGTGAAAGTGGCGTGACATAAACCCGTGTGTCGTGTGTTCCAGGCAAGGTGAGTCCCGGACCAGCTGCCTACAACCTCCAGACAAGCATGGCAGGAGGGCCGCGCTACACCATGTCCAAGAGGCTCCGGAGATACATCACAGGTGAGGCGGGTTGGGTGATGGGAGGTAGCTTCCCCGGGGCTGTAGTGAGGGGTGGGGAATCGGGTTGGAGCAGGAGATGGGGAAGGTCCGGGCCACGATTGTTCTAGCTACAGTACTGAAAAAAATGGTAAACTACGTCGTAGATCGATGGTCATGCTGTTGATCACTGGATTGTCTGGTCCAGACTCAATTATCTACAGACCGCCGCCATATAGCTGGGATATTGCTGAGTGCGGCGGTGAACAACAAACCAACCCAAACCAACCCATTTAAATAGGACGAAAATGTTTAATTTGGTTTGGTTTGGACAAGAAAGGAGAGTGTAAATAGGTTTAACTTTCAAGACCAGTGTCGAGGTTTGCTTGTATTAGATATCTAATTATGTCGCTGGCGTTACATATTTCAAAAATTAACTCAAACATCTGAAAATTAATTCTGTACTTCCAAACAAAACCGTATCTAAAGAATCAGATGGAACGATGTTCATGGCGGATGATCTGAGGAATACAATGCTTGGCCGACTCGCACTGATGAGTTTGGCGAAACAATATCTGTGACAATCATGGTGTACCCGTTAATGTTCCTCTCCAGATGAGTGAGTGAGTATGGTTTTACGCCGCTTTTAGCAATATTCCAGCAATATGACGGCGGGGGGACACCCATTGTACCCATGTGGGGAATCGAACCCATGTTTTCAGCGCGATGAGCGAACGCTTTAACCACTACGCTACCTCACAGCCCCCTTCTCTAGATGACAGATATTGACATCAGATGTGATCCATCTGAACGTAAGCCATTAAGTGGAACGTATATTCCATCTGTTTCATCGCTTAAAGTCATGTACAAGTGAATACAACTGTGTTCAGCATTAAGACTTTAGTGTTTATTCCACCAGTAAATAAACGTAAAGAAAAGGCGACGTGAAACGTCAGATGGGAATGAAACAGGTACATGATTGACATGTTACGTGATTACCATGACACATGCAAGCTGCAGCACGTGCACAACCCGGAAGTAAAGTGGATGTATTTTATGCCCCTTTTGCCACTCCGGCATCTGATGCCAACGTTGGGTGTCTCGGAACAGCTTTCTTTGACGTATTGATGTCTTTTTCAATTAGCGGGAGACGCGTAACAGTAACCTCTCATTTTCATCAAGCGTACTATCTGAAACCTTTTTAATTTGTTCTCGTGTTGTCTCGGTGCAAGTCGTGACTATCTTGTGGCTATTTTTGCGACTGGGTTCCGTCTTAGCGTAAACATCCATGGCTAAAGAAAGTGTCAATTTTAACAATTACTTTTGCGAAATGATTCATGTGTAATAATTATTATATACGCATACATCATAAGTATTGCAAATGCTATATCTTTAAAACACACCTGACTTAATTTGATAGACTATGTAACCGAACTAGTTTAGATACGTCACGATTGTAAAATCAAAAATTTATGAGGTATTCTTTGACCGAAATACACCAAGTCATACGCCCAGCCTGATTGGTTTGTCGAATCTTGTCAAGTATCTTTCATCGACAGTGGGCGAGTCTTCTTTCAAGTTAAGGAAAATCAATTAGTGTTTAATTAAACTTGGCGCGCACTACCGCGCGCACACAAATGAATATAGAATAGTCCGTCCTTAAAGAGGATCGGTTGGTTACAATATGAGAAGACTTATTATATTTGTTTCACATGAAATATGTCATATGAAGCTTATTCCTCCGTTAATTTAAACCACACATACCCAATGAAAAAAAGATCTCATCTCGCGGAACTTGCTTGTTCATCAGTGCGCACGCATCCGATTCGTGGTATCACATGCTTGTCGTATTATACGCTCACACCCAAGTGTCGCCATACACCTGCCCCTAGAGACGTAAAATAATCAAAGTTTTGTTATAAAAATAAATCAAAATTCCCAAAATGTTCATGGCATTTCAGTCCTAAATAACTGTCTGATGTTTTCTCGACCCTTCCATCAAATGTGTAATGTCATCACAACCCATCCTCTCAACCAGTCACGTTTTTGACTGACCCTCCCTGGTTCCCCACGTCGGCGACGTACATGATGTACACCCTCCGTGCCACCATCCCATATCATTAGCGGTATCAATTCCTTGTACTAATGAACCCCGCCGAGGAAGCTATCTACTTAACATTTAACTCGAGCACACTGACCAGTGGTCCAGGGACACCAGGAATTACCGTTAACATTGTCCGGGAGATATATTTGTTTATCAACCAGAGCTCTAAACGGTTACCATGGTCGCTGGTCGTCGGTGAAATCACCTCGTGAAGTAATTGAATTCTAATCGCTTTTTTTACAACATGGATGACACGATCCTCCGTGATAATGGTCTCCCAACTGAACTGATGTCACGTTACCGAAGAGAGTGTAGGGCTTCTCTATCATGAATAATATACTATTGAGATAAAACTAGTTGTGTTTATTTAAGTGATACTACAGGGTAATGGGCGGAAGGTCCGTGTGTGTGCATAAGCCTGTAATATCAGATGTTTAATTGTCTCGCGGAAAGTATTATCGTGAAAACTATTCACGGACATGATTATGAGGCTTTGATAAGAGCCTAAATTGCTGAAAATAGTCATTATATGGGAATCTAGTGAATGTTAAATATATCATGATTGAATGAACACGTCGGGGACTTACATTTGTATTAAGTAACGAAACGCATCAGATGTATTTTGGTCCTTTTAAGTAGCAGCGGCCATATTGGATGACGGTATTTAATATTTCCCAACGGGGTATTCTGTCATCTTGATTGAGATAATCATCACGAAGCTGGATTTTAAGACAAACAAAAGACATACAGGGTTTGACATTCTACAGTTCTTGTCAATATATCATCATTTGAATTCGTTACCTAGTCTCAATCATGACTTTTTCAGTGGCTTTGTAAGGCGGGAAATTCTGCCTCGTGTGTTAAATGGTTCACGGCCGATCAGAAATAGACACAGATTAGTGTTGGAGATTCGTGTTGGCAGCAGAACTGCCCGTCGGACACCGTACCGCCACATTCGAGTGTTAAAGACAGAAACAAATATGGAAAATAACCTGAACTCAAAGTAAAATATTAAAGCGTTTAATACGAAGTTTTTGTGATTCTGGAATAGTTTAATTGGGACTGTGGTCTCATCTTAGACACGATCTTATACCAACATGTGGGGCGGTGGGTTGGTACAGTGGTGAAAGCGTTCGCTCGTCACTCCTAAGATCCGGGCTCGTTCCCCTTAAAGGTACAATGTGTGAAGCTCATTTCCGGTGTCCCTCGCCGTGATATTGCTGGAACATTGGTAAGAGTGGCGTAAAACCCAACTCACTCACTCACGCACCAATATGTATGTCGTTAAGCTGATGCTTTACATGAACTCTGCTTTATTCAGTGAATTGTGACATATGTATTGTATTCTCAATGATGACATATGTACGTAAGGGGCAATGTAAGGGAAATTGTATTGCTCCGATGGATCACCCCTGTTTAAACTAACTGTATCAATGGTATATGTAAATAAGGTAAGTTTAGTTCACCAATATAGCATTAGTATAACAAAGGAGTATTAGTATACTGGAAACACAGATGGCTTCATACAAAGCCATGGCAACACAATGGTTGCTGTACAATGGAACATGACACAATGTTGCCACAACACAATACTAGAGCCAGTTAATGGCCACGACACTGTCGAAACATGTTTTCATATTTTCATGGCACAAAAGGGCCACGACACTGTAGAAACATGTTTTCATATTTTCATGGCACAAAAGCTACGACAACACAAGGCGACGACATAGTAAAAACATGACACAATATCTTCATGACACAAAGCTAGACACAACACAAGGCGACGACATAGTAGAAACATGACACAAAGCTAGACACAACACAAGGCGACGACATAGTGGAAACATGACACAATATCTTCATGACACAAAGCTAGACACAACACAAGGCGACGACATAGTGGAAACATGACACAATATCTTCATGACACAAAGCTAGACACAACACAAGGCGACGACATAGTGGAAACATGACACAATATCTTCATGACACAAAGCTAGACACAACACAAGGCGACGACATGGTGGAAACATGACACAATATCTTCATGACACAAAGCTAGACTCAACACAAGGCGACGACATAGTAGACACATAGCGACGACATAGTAGAAACATGACACAATATCTTCACGACACAAAGTTAGACTCAACACAAGGCGACGACATGGTGGAAACATGACACAATATTTTCAAAGATATACTCAACGTTTCGATACAGATTCTTGAATCTGCTTAACAACGGTATAAGAGTCTGTATCGAAACGTCGTACTGACGAAAAAGAAGAAATTGTAATGCATAAAGTTTGTCAATATTAGAACATAACATGATTTAAAGGACATTGCCCTACCCAGGTCCAACATCATTAACAAAACAACAGTTACATTGCTATCATGACTCTGTTTTCCAGGAATCAGCAATCCTGGTCCTAACGCCTACAAGCCCCCCAGCGCTCAGACCAACAAGGGCTTGAGGACCCGACTTGGAGTGAAGCTGAAGAGCAGAGCAAGTCCGTTTGTCTACTCGGGCTTCCAAACCAACAAGATACTGGACACCGTGGCATAATCCACCCACCCACGATGTTTGTGATTGATTGTACAGTATTTGTCGTTCATTCAGCCTCCCACGGACAGCGCTTTGATCCCATTACTCTGTCTTTGCTCATTAGGATAATAGGATTCTACACCGGTTTTTGTAATTGTGGATTATAGATATTTTAAGTGAATTGATTAATCTGTTTGGAGGTAATGTGATTGGTGTCCATGTGATTTTGAATTTGATTTAAGTGTAAACGTATAGCATTCACCTGTACATTGAACAGGTACGGTATTGTTTTGATGTAGGTTATTAAATAAGTATTTTCTATTAACGAGTTGACTTTGATGTTGTTGTTGGAGGTGAGGTTATACAGACAGACAATCTGTGACTGTTAATGCAACGTGTCGTGTTTGACCGGCGTTGAACTGGATTTCATCGACATTATCGTGTGTCAGATTTGTGTGGGAAGAAAGAGTGTAGATTTGTTCACATTAGTTAATGCCCTAAGCACGAGTATGGACAAAATGACATGATCACCGCGAATCTGGGATTAGGTCAGCGGATCCTGGTATTGCTAAAGGACATAACTCCCCACTGCGAGTCGTCTCAGATGTGATACAATGTGATCTATGGGCCACCCATTGTCTTGACTGGGCGGGCACCTGTGTACCTCATGGAGCAGACAAGTGGCGGCTGATATTCCGTGGGCTGCGGATCCTGGCATTGTACATAACTCCCCACAGCGAGTCGTCACAGAGATGTATTGGCTAACCATTGTCTTGACTGGGCGGGCACCTGTTCACCTCATGGAGTAGACAAGTGGTGGCTGATGTAACGTTGGCTGCGACTGAACCTCACTAAACAAAGGGTTCATTGTTTCCAGGTATTGAACAAAACCAGATAGAGGACTGGACCAGACAATCCAGTGATCAACATCATGAGCATCGATCTACGCATTTGTTACACGGTCACATGTGTCAACCAAATCAGCGAGTCTGACCACCCGATCCCGTTAGTCGCCTCTTACGACAAGATTTTACCAGTTCATTCATCCCAAGATTGTCATCACAAACTGGCGCTGCATTGTCAATCATCAGCCCCACTTCCGGCCAGGGGAGATAAGCATGTTGGAGTACCCTTGTACTTCTCTGGGATTTCACAAAAAGCCATAAGGCATGTACTTCCAAATACTACCAACCATCGAAGACCGAACAAAAGAATAGAGACGTGTTATTCACCAAGTATCAACAAGCAGGTGCTGCATTTGGCATTTATCTGCGTCACTTCCTGTCAAGGGAGATAAGCCTGTTGTAGTACCCAAAAGGGCCATAAGACATGTAATACTGCCAACCATCAAACACCGAACAAAAGTGAAGATACGTGTTATTCACAGACTATTCAAGTCACCCTTATCACGTTTCAGTACACATTAACACAAACAATGGATCTACAGAACGGTTGATTATATCCTACATTGTGTACATTCGACGCAACTACGGCATGTCGACATTCTATCCCTGCAGCGTCAACGATATCGATTTGACAATAGTATCTGTCAATTTTCCGTAATCTGCAAATGTATGGGTAAGCGACGTGCACAATTGGTATCATGGACGATATCTGTAATCTGTAATCTGCAATCTTTATGCTACACAGGAGACACGAATTACAATTGTATGTTGTAAATAGCCACAACAATCTTATTATCTGAAGCAAACGCTGTATTTAAACTTCAGAGGGGTAGTTACTATAGTTTTCTGGCATCAATTAGCCATTTATATACACTAAGAACTGCATTAAGAACCCCCTGTCATATCTCACGATTGAATGATCCCCGATCTTAACCCTTTGGAGCATATCTGGGACATGATTGGTCGTCGTGCGCAACAAAGGGATCCTCCTGTACAGAACCTGGCCCAATTGGAAGCTGCTTTACACGAGGAACGGCGTAGATTGCCCCTTCAGAGGATCAGGAGGCTGACAGGGGGTATGAGGAGGAGAGTGCTGGCTGTCATACAGTCACATGGAGGTTACACTCGGTATTGACCTTAAATCGTGTAAGACATGCAAAATATTGGCATTCACCAATAAATTCAACATTAAACATTCCAGGGCCATACTTGTACAGACATGATTTGGGTTTTTTAAATGAGTAATTATCATCATAAAATTAACATGGATTCCAATCATTTTGTCGTTTTTTTATGAGTTAAAAGATCATACGGGTCAGAGTGAGTGAGTTTGGTTTTACGCCGCTTTTAGCAATATTCCAGCAACATCACGGCGGGGACACCAAAAATGGGGAATCGAACCCTGGGATTTGTGACCGCAAGACATCTTCAGGATCAGCTGAGAGCTGGCCGTTGCACCAACGTATCCGATCAGACAGTTTAAAATCGTCTACGTGTCCGACGTTTGCGCTCTCGACGTTCTCCAGTCCGACCACCACTACTTGAGCGGACAGCACCACAGAACTGCTCTCTACATCGTCAATGGGAATTTGACTGGTCTTCGATATCTCATCGAGATTATTCAACCTCTGGTAATGCCACTGCTTCGTCAACTTGGACCAGGGGCCTGGTTCCGGGATGATAACGCTAGACCCCATCGTGCCAGGGTGGTGACAGACTTTCTGCAGCAGCAGAACGTTCAGCACATGGTGTGGCCTGCTTATTCACCCAATTGTTAGCAATTGAGCATGCCTGGGATGAGATAGGACGAAGAATTCAAGCTTATCACGTCCCTGACATCAACCCACACGAACTGGGTCAACAACTAGTCGCAGAATGGGCAGCAACCCCCAAACAATGTTTTAGGCGTTTAATGAATAGCATGTGTCAACAGGGTCAGGGTCATCCATGCTAACGGTGGCTACACGAGTTATTAAAGATTTCTGGCTTTGTGTGAACTCTGATTTTGGGGTACTTGACTTTGATGAATTGTGGAATAAAGTTGTGCGAAACAATTCACTTTTTGTTTTGTGTTTTCGTTTATTTAGAGCTTGAGGTTTTGTTTTTGTCATTGGTTGTCACAATTTTATTTCCACATCTTCTACTTATATTCCAAAATACTTGTGACCCTTAACTTCTTTTGAGGAGTATATATGTTTTTCAGTGCCTGCCGGGCCTTGTATGTTCTAAAAGGTATCTGCTTTCAGAATTCGAGGCTAGGAGAGTATTCTGTTAAGATGAGGTCAGGTGTCAGCTCTCATCGGCGAGCAATTGTCTACAGTCGTCCAGGAAAAGGGTTTTGCGATGCTTTTTTTACTCTAGTGGTCGGTGTGGTTGTGGCAGCGTATTGGGAGGCATCAAAAATAACGAGAGGACGTACCTGGTCACCATGAATGACAATCATTCGAGATCACGTTTTACCCGCTGCTCAGGGAAATGAGCTGACCTTGCAGCAGGATGATACCCTTGAACGCGTCCAATGTAGCCTGTCTGTTGTAAAATACTTCAAAAGGCAGCATAACGTCACTGTACTACCATGGTCGGCTGTTTTTCCAGTCCTCTACTCAGCAGAACATATCTGGGATGAGATGGACCAACGCCAGCGACAAGACTGGAACCAGCCATTGTCGTTAGCTAAGTTTAGTGGACAATGTTTGGCTGATGTTTGGACCAACTGCCCAAGGATGTTTTGAATTACTCGTGTCTTTCATGCCCCGTCTGTAGGGGCCTGTCACCCCCCGATATTGACATTGCTAATTGATTTCTAACACCACCACACTTTCAGAGCGTTCCGCTCCCAGAGCAGTTACGATTTTGTCAACGAAGTTGTCATGTTACTGATGAAACATTGATCAGTGTAGATGTTTAAATAAAGTAGCATCAAACATCGATAATCGTTGATGAATGCTCTAACCTACTTGGAATCAAACTCTAGTTACCGGGTCAAGGTTGGTCAGATTCTCATTAATCGAGGGATGTTCATGTTTACAAGGTGTTGGGATACTGACAACCTTAACCAACAGTGCACCCCACTCACACGAGACCAGGTTCAGATGTATACGTGTTCTGTATTTCAAGAAAGACATCAAATATCATGTGGCATATCTTTCTTTCAGATTCACTGATGAAAAATCCTTGTTTCTTTATGACATTTGTGAAACGACGCATACATACAAGCTTACATACAAGTAAACTAGAGGTATTCTGTACTTATTTTGTACACCTAGGTCACAATGAGTTAGTTTTAATGCCACTCAGTGATAGGCTAGGGCTACAGCAGTGTGCAAATGTAGGAGGAAGTGGAGTCATCCCACAGATGACATCCTTTCCTTGTCAGTTTACTGACAGGTCTAACCTCTTTGGTCATGTGGACAAGGAGTCTGTCCCTCTGTAAACTCCTTACGACGAAACGGCGTCGGCATAGTGTATGATAACGCTGATTTGAGACGTACGTGGAGCACAGAGCCTGAACATGAACAGTCCGACAGTATAGAGACAACTAAGTATGTGTATCTCAAACTCGTTTGTTTTCAAAACGTGATAAACGATAAACATGGCGGTAAGACAAGTTCCTTGTAGGTTTATCCCTGGTGCCACCATGGCCACACAGAGGGTACATCAAACCGACTTCACTCCAGATAAACTAACCACTCGTACGATGTCTGACATTTGGTAAAGCTCGTAGTTGAGAAATTCTGTTGCGGCTGCGATCATGCTCGTACAAACACATTAAGCATGCTCCTTTAACAGATGGCTCTTGATTACAAACACTATGTATCGTTTGGTATATTTAGTCAAGACTGAAGTTAGGTCAACAAAATATACCGAGAAATAGCTACATGCAATTTTGGCACAAAAAATATAAGATTGCGAAAACGTGGAAACCAGTGCAAACGCATGCAATCAGCAAGCCATTCTGCTGACATCATCTTCCCGGTGCAAGAGACCGTGAGAAACCAGTTTCTGCCCTTGCCAGAAACACCTTGGTGACTTTCGCACAGATTTCTGTTGAAGGCAGGATTTACAAAGCATGTATACCATAACGTGGAGTCAAGAGATATCTTACAAATCTTTTCATGTTTTACGTCACGTTTCTCAAGTGAATTGATGCTCTTCGCGAGGTATCACTGGTTTTATTACAACGTTGATTCTGATTACCAGATAGATTGTCTTGACTGGGTGCGGCCATTTTGTTTGATGTAAATACATGTGGTATCACAGGTAACCTGACTGATCCAAAACCAGGAACGATAACTCGTAACAGCTACCGGTGGTGCTCTGATTGACCCATGTAAACCCATCCTACTTCTGCAAGGGAGATAACTGGACTTACATTGTCAGTTAACTCCCTTGAAAATGAGTGACATTGTTCGTTCT